TTAAATATACAATAAATATTTTTATTTCTAATTAAATATTATAAAAAAACTTTAAAATATATGTAAAACATTAAAACGAACAACTTTGCTTATTCAACCAAAGTCGATTAAATTAATAAAAAAAAAAAGTTTAATTTGAGGTCAAAATTTCCGTCGATTTCTAATTTTTAAGTGCCCGGTGACTTTTGATACCCCACTGTACTTCCAGTAGCCCGTGTGATATTTTTAAAACGATCATCCGATTTGAGAATATACAGTTCGAGCTCAGATAAACTATCAAATGACACTAACCTTCTAATATTGTCAGCAGAGGTAAGAATGACCGAGAGTTTCTTAACATTGTAAATATCTTTAATCTGATCATGTTCAGTCAATCTAGAAAGAACTTGTTATAACATTTTATAATAAGAGTGGTAAATAATACAAACCTTGCATTTGTGTGTAAATTCTACATTTGTTCTATTGTAACACAATATATTTTCTTGTTTGATATATTGTTCGTTATAAAGCTGTTGTAGAGATATATTTGCGGGATTTAAAGCTATTGACATTAAATGATTTTTATTGAGCCGTGTTTATAATGTATCTCGCTTGAATTATAAATATATTGATTAAAAAAGAGGTCAGCTAGAATTACCTTGACTCGGTATCGTTAAACTATCCAGCTTTCGTAAAATGTTTAAATATGGAGAATAAACAATGACATGGGTAAACTCTTTACGAGGTTGCCCAGACCAGTAATCACCAATAATTCCTTCGAGATTTTTTATATTTTTGCTCTTCGCATCTGAGTTAAGGTTCGATAATTCTTTATCGTTATTGCCAATCCATACCTGCCAAAGCATTAACTGATCAGCTTCAATATGGTTGAAAATATCATTCCCTGCCCCTTTAAATTCTCTTTAATATCCTTTTTAAAATTTTCGACAGAATTTGCTGTGTTGGTAATAATAGTAAATTCATAATTTTCTTCACCCTCTCGAAAGAGAAGACAGTTTAGAAAAATATCAACCATAGCAGTTCTAATTTTGATTCTTTATGCTTAGGCATATTTATATCGAACGAACAAAAAAAGGTAGCGATTTTGGAAAGGCGCGTTATTATTACTAATAAACGATACGACAGTGATAAGAAAAATGATTTGAATGATTTGATTGGCTAAAAAAATCAAAAAAAAATAAATCATTCCATCAAAAGCTTGCCAATTTTATATTTTCTTGAAGTGTATTAGCTGCATTCATTAAAATATTAAAATTCTACCACCTATTTCTTTATGATTAGGAAGAATAAGTCCAGGTGCAATAAATTCAAGTTGTGCTTTAGTTTCTTCATTTTTCACAAATGAAAAAGGAAGGCCATTAGATATTATCATCCATAAAATAAAACTTTCAAACCATGGAACAAATTTGTTGACATTGGTAAGATGTTAAAGTTGATTGGTGTCCGCTATTATAAGTCTTTTTCGTTTAGTTGATGGAACATTAAAATCATTTTTATCATCTATTAATTTTAAAAAAATAATTCAGTAATAAATAAAATAATAAATCATTTTATAAATAACAAACCTTTTATATTTTCTAACTTAATCTTCAGATACTGGTTGATTAAGCACTTATAAATTTCTTTAAAATTTTCAAACTTTGCTATTTGTGAACGATATAACTTTGCTTTATTGGAAGTGCAGCATTCCGGTTTTAATTTAGCTACTCCTAATCCTCCATCGCAAGTTTTGATACAGCTTTTACATACCACAATGGCATTTCCTTTATTTTAGTATTTTTAACAAGTACAAAGTAATGTGCGAAAAAAAATGTGGTTCTTTGAGGCATCTTATAAGGATTGATTAACTAATACTGATATAATTATTTTTTACATATTTAGTTTGGATTTACATAGTATTGGAGGCGCAGCAAATGAAACCATGACTTCAGAGGTCTAAAGTCATGTTATCTCATTTCGAAAAAGTGACCGGGTCATTTTCCAACACTGGATGTAAAGAGTTAAGTTGAATAGATTAATATCATCATGATCCATTTTGTCATTCACTTTCTGTATTTTCCGTTTGCTTTGTTCGTAACAATTGTTTAAAGAGATTTTCTGTGGCAGCCTTGACAAATCATTGTATAAATAAAATCCAATAAAAATATATTGTAATAGAAAAAGAATAAAAGAATAAAACAAAATAGATTATATATTACGTAATGATTCATCCTTCCGACTATCATTATTAGAATAATGATGGATTACGTATGATTAAATTTTACCATATAGGTTCATTTCAAAAGCACTTCGACATCAAAATCTCAAATTAACGAAATTATTATCGTCACCTTTAAATTTCTGAATTTTAAAAATAAAGTTTTAAAATTTTTTTAATCCATGTATTTCAAATAATATTATTATTTCATTGAATTCTTTTTATTCCAAATTAATTATTTAATTGTATTACTTGATTAATTTTTTTTAAAGAAAATCGCTTTTAGAATATTCTCTTTGAAGGAAATTATCTCTGATTTTTTCTAAAAAATCACCTTAAAAGTAAATTTTTTTAAAAAAATGGTTTTATCATTCAAAAATAAATTTCTTTAAAGGTCTTAAAATAATTTTTTTAAAGAATTATTTTTCTTAAAAAAAAATATTTTGCTAATTCTTTTTTTAAAATAAATAATAAATGTATTTTCTTTAAGTAAACATCAATATATGACTTTTTTATAAAAATTATCCTGAAAGTAGATTTTTTAAAAAACAATATCTTAAATGCATTTTTTTTATAAAATATATTGTATGTTTTTTTTAAAAAAAAAAAAGGAAATACTTTTTAGAACCATTTTTTAAAAAAAATATCACTATGTATGTTTTTAAATAAAATACCTTTGAAGCTGATTTTTTTTTTTTTCAAATGTAATTACTATTAAAGTAATTTTTTCAATAAAATACCTTTGAATTTGTTTTTTTTTTATAGATAGCAAATGTAAACCAACAAGTTAAAGTTAAACTATAATATAAATTAGATTTTCTAACTTATAATTCATTTTAAAGATTAAGATAATTTTAAAATAAGTCAGCTTATAAGTAGCTTGACTTATGCAAAACTTTAATTAATAAAAATAATTATTTCATTATTACAAAATAAGTATGTTAATTCTCTTTTTAAATAAAATTAATATATAAATTAATTATTAGTATTATAATATCTTATAAAAAAGATGAAAACCATTTTCTCTATTACTTTTGTATATAAATTATATAAGTATAATCAATAAAATATAATTATAACTTTTATTTTAAAAATTAATAAATTAAATTAATTTTATTTTTTAATTATATAAATTTATAATTTTTTATTTTAAATTTTTATAAATTATATATTTCTAAAATTTATTTTTAAAATTAAAATTTAATTAATATTATAATTTGCTATTAATAAAGTAATCAAGATTATTAATATTATAAATTAGAATTAACAAATTTCCAATTATCTTAAAACAAATTAAAAAATTTTAAAATATCTTATTTAAGATCTTTAAAATTTTTTTTAAGATTATTTGCTAATTTAATATTATTAACTAATAAATAAATATGAAAGTTTGGTATAAAGATTAGAGTAATATTTACTAATTTATATTATTTTTAGGTTTGAGTCAGAATTATATTTTATTTAAAATTAAAATTTACATTTTTAAAATTTAATTAATAATATTTTTATCAATAAAACATTAAAATTTATTAATTAAAAAATTTAAATATTTGTTATTTTCATAAAAAATATAGAAATATTTAGTTTAAATCGTTATTTCTATACTTTTTAAATTTTTTTTATTTTATCTATAATAAATTATATAACTTTTTATTAAAGGTTCCAAATAAATAATACCTAAGTTTACTTAGTAATCATATGTTACTTATTTACAAGAGTTTTGAAAAAAACTATCAAATATGAAGAAATATTTATTGATTGAGATATGGTATTTATTTGTTCAAAATGATTTTATTGGAAAGGAATCCTATTTCTCATGATGATTTCTTTTACATTGAGGAATTTTTTGTTTTCAGAAAAGGCTTACAAAGTTTCAATTCAATTGAAGCGAAAAAACCAAATCCTCAAAGACTTCAGCCATTTTGTAAGTTATGTAAAGCTGAAAAAAGAAAAACTGAGTTGTAGACAATATATAATAGATTCGAATTTTATAAGACATCGGCTCTGAAGAACGGAATTTAGGTTTATTGTAAATCCTTTTACAAATTTTGACGTAACCGCTAAATCCATAAATTAGCACATTTTATTTTATTTAAGCCTAAAAATACAATTCGGCCGATTTTACAATAAAGTCCAAAAATAATATGTCAAATCATTCAGTATGGTATTTATTAAAAATAATATATTCCCGATGTTATGGTTTATTAAATAAAACATTCTTGAGCACTTGTGAGATTAAACTATGAGCTGCCTCAACGGTTATTTTTGTACTATAAATTGATTAAGAAAATAATAATAATAATATGTTAAATAAGTAAAGTAACCAAATTCGAAAATAAATTACCCAAAGTACGCACCTATCTCGAGTGACTTTGCTGAGTGGACTCTCTTCGACTTTCCTCTTTTCCGGAGTGGGTGTAGCAGTACCACCGCTAGCACCTCCAACCGTAGAAGAAGTTGCTGTAGCAGCTTGGGGAGCGGAAGCTCCACGTCCACTACTCATTCCACCGGGAAAACCCGAAACTCTGCCACTTTGTTGTAACTGCGTTTCAGTTTGTTCCAACTTTTCTGCAAGGTCAGAAATTTGTCCAGCTGAATAATCACGATTCTAAATGATTTAAATAAGTTTTAAATATTGACAGATTTCAAAGATTCTGTAAAAACATATTAGATACCGTAATTAAAGGTGATTGTGATAGTGTGTTGACCCAATATTTGTTCCAAAGCAATTCTAACAGATGTGTGTCAAGGGTAGACTTAAAATGTGATATTTCAAGTTGATAATATCTATATGCAAATAATGACAGAAATTAAATTTAATTATAAAGCTTAAATAAAATTTAAACATAATTTTGGTTTGGTAATTTACTGTTTGCAATGAACACCGAAATCCTCAATTTTGCTCAACGGAATGGTTTGATATTCAGACGGACCTTCATCCGGCGCTTTGTATCCCTTTATAAAAGGAAAAAACAAAATTTAAAAATATTTATTTTTAGAATCCGTAAAATATTCATTTATATTACCGCTGGATAAGTTCTAAACGCGCCAATTTCTACTTTTCCAGCAGATATAGTTCGATTAGGATCAATCTAACGTTAATTTTTTTTTTAAAAATAAAATAAAAAAACTCATCATTAATAAATTATGAAATTTTGAATCGTTATTAACAAAAAAAAAAAATAAGTTTTTACTTACGACCACGGCCACAAAAGGATCTTGATACTGCTGATTTGTCATTTGAGTATTCACATCAATACCGGAAAGCCAACATCCGTAACCAGGATGACTATGATACCATCCTACTATATTCTCTAATCTTCCCACCTATTGAAATTTATCATCCTATTAATACATATTTCAAATCAATAATTAAGTCTAGTTATGACGAACCTGTCTAATAGTTGTTAAATATTGAACCATATACTCATTTGCTTCAGATTGAGCATTTACTCTTGTCTCGGTTCCTTCCACGGGCAAAGCGAAAGCATCCATAATAATCATCGTGCTACCATCTATTTTCCCTTGCATTAAACCCATTACTTCAATATTTCCGCCAGAACGAGCATGCATGACCTTCACAAATAGACAAGGTTAATGACAATGATCGTAAATAAATTTAAAAATTGATCAAATTAACATTATACC